GCCGGGACTCACCCCGCCCCGCGGCTCCGGCCGGGCCCCCGCACCCCTCCCTCCGCACGTCCTTCCTTCGGGAGCGCCGCTGGGACCCCCGGGAACACCAGCTCCTGAGATCTACCCCCGCGCTGGGGGAAGGCTCAGGGCAAGGCGGAGTCCACGAGGGCCAGCCCCAGAACCATCCTGCCCTGCCAGGCCAGCAAGAAGCGTCTCTGCTCCCATGGGACAGCTTAAACTTTTCCCTCCATCCTTCCTCCCCTGCCCCAAGGGACAAAAAGCACGGATTCTGCCGTGTAACAGAGCTCCTGGCTCTCTTCCAGTCACCTCGGAGTCTCCAGGGGCCATGCTACGATGCCCAGCAGAGCACAGATGGGGTGCGAGAAGGGTCAGTGGTGCGGAAGGCAAGAGATGCCACAGCACCAAGAAACTGGAGTACTGAACAGGGCCAGGAGTGAATTTCATTGATTGCAAAAAAGCCAACTCCATAGCCACCCAGTAACAGAACTCGAGGCAAGGGAATAAAAGCGGGTATCGCCCAACACCCTGTTCCAGCAGTGACACAAAAGACAGTAACAGTCTGCAGAAGAGGTCTCTTTGCACAACACCCATCTGCCCTTGTCCCCTTACTGCTACCCTCTGCTCCAAAGACCCCATTCCCTCTGCTCGCCCCTGAGAGCCACATTTGACTGTGCACCCCATCCCTCCCCCCAGACAAAACCAATGAAAGATAAAATTATTTACACTTTTAGCCATTTAAAAACCCAATAAAATAAGATTGCATATGTCCTACTGGGGATGTGGGTATTAGCAGCAGCTACAGCTAGCTCGGTACTCAGCGTGCAAAACAAAAGACAAACAGAAGACAGACCGAAATACTGCACCATTACTAGGAAGCGTTCGCTGGGGTTGGTGTTTCAATTGTGGCATAAGGCTTCTAGGAGCCAGCTCCTCCCCAGCTGCAGGGCCTCCTGCTCAGCCAGTGAAGGCAAGCTCTAGAAGGATGGAAAGGATTCATACACAGCACATTAACACTGATGCATTTCCATCCCAGTCAACACAAACATCTAAAAACCCACTGCACGTTCACTGTGTGAGTTTTTCCTTCTTTCCAGTGATGATAGAGGAAAAGGGGGAGCACAGGTAAGACCTAAGACATAGATGCTGCTGTCATCACTGCCTCCTCCTCATCTCCTTGCTTTGGCAGCTCAGCAAGCATGGGAGAGAAGGGAGATGGAGCAGCCTCTTGTGCCTCCTGCTCCTCACCAAACCCCAGCTCTACATCCATTTGCTCCAACTCCCCCTGATCCAGTAGCTCAAAGTCATCTGCTTCCTCCTCGTCCTCCGGTGAAGCTTCTGTCTCTGTCTCCACCACTTCGCTCTCTGACAGATGTGCTTGGAAGCTCAGTTTCTCTTCAGGCTCCGTGGGGAGGAACTCGGAGAGGGGAGGTCCCTCACTGGCCTCTGAGGACCGCAGGAGGGCAGAGAGGGTGTTCTGCACCGCTGTGGTGATAGCAGTGGTGACGATCTCCTCGCTCAGCGTGTTAATGCAGATGCCCAGGCCTGGGGCAGGGACAGTCTTTGGCTCTGCGTTGCCTCCTGCCACTTGCCCACTCCCATTGAAGTGCGTATTTACAAAATGGAGAGGAGACGCGAGGCGAAGGATGGAGAGGTCAGAGTCTGTGGCCTCTTTATCTGCTGAGTGCAGCTCACAGGCAGCATGGGCAAGCTCAGGACCCAGAGGCACATCAAATGCGTCTTCATCACTCTGTGGTCCCAGGTCTCTGGAATGATATTCTTCCACAGATGGAAACTCTGCCAGGTCCTTGGAAAATGACTCCTCTGGCTCACTGTGCAGGCTCTGCTGATCCAGGTCTGAAAGGCACCAGCATTAAGGCACAGGCTCCCTCGCCCTGACCTTCCACCCACCTTCCCCCAGCTGACACACCACAGCTGACTTTCAGGTACCTTCCCCATCTTTGGAGCAGAGCAGGAAGAAGTCTACAGTTATTCCCTTCTGCCAGTGGCATGATTTACACAGAATGTTTCTTTTGTGATCCTGTTCTATGTGCTCTGTGCTCACAGAGCACTTCCAGCTCATGCCCTCTGCATTTAGAGCTCCCCATTAAAATTCCCAAGGTCAGGGAAATTGTGCTTACATCACTTGCCTGCTCCTTCCCAGACACCCAAGTGACCACTGAGTGGTTACTTCCATGTTCCTCACAACCAACCAGTCCTTCTCTGAGCTAGTAAGTGTCTGGCCTGCTTCACCCACCATCATATATGGGTACGTGACTATCCTATTCAATTATTTCTGTGGGACGTTGTGGGTGCCCTTGCTCCCTTGCAGGAGTCACAAGATGGTATTGCTTTGTGGAGCAGCAATTAGAGGCTGATGTCCACTCAGGACCAGCTTATGATCAGCCATGAAGTCAGGGCATGCTGCACTGCTTTTCCTTCCTCCTTTCAAAGCATTTCCCATGCAAATAGCTAGGTTCTCTCCCTGTCTTCCCATTTGTAAGACCCATTGTTCTGGGCCAAAACACTGAGGATAAGGGGGCGGTAAGGTGTCCCATCATGTACCTTCAGAAACGTCCGTCAGTTGTGGGGTGGTAGCCCTTGAAACAGAAAAGCCCCCACTCTCCAGGATAGAAGCCTCCTCATCAGAGAGCTCAGAATCTGTGATTGACAGTGCTAGGGCAGTTTTCTTCACATCCACCTGCATGGGATGAAGGCAGAGAGACAAATTCCTGTGTGTCAAAGTACCCATGCCACCTATGGGCGCCTCCACACCTTCCAGGCAGAAGTCCTTGCTGGAGGGACAGTATGCTGGCAAAGTGCTCCCTACACTGGAGGGAAGGGCAGTCTCAGCTCTCTGGCTTTCCTGCAATAAACCACTGCCCAAAGGTTTGCCTGCTCTCAGTGAAGAACACAAAAGAGGCAGCACAAGATGGGATGAGACTGTAGGAGTCTAAGAAGGCTTTGATCCTTCTTCCTCTCCTGGGATTACCAAGGAGAACACCCCTTTCCTCTTGCATTCACAGAGAGCACAACAAAGCCTTCTACAAATAGCAGTGGTTTAAATATCCACATTCCTTTGGAAACAAGCTTCCCACCTCACAGCTCAGCTACATGCCCAGAGCTGCTGCTTGGCTTGTTTCTGTGGTCACAAATATAGGAAGGTCACACACAATCTGAAAGCAGAGAACTGTGTAAGAGTCACCAGAGCTGTTCAAACTCCCTTTTCCGGTTCTGAGGAGCCCCTGCACATTACAGCAGAGGAGTTCATTTCTTCAGGAGACACTCACATTCTCTGAGCATGAAGCATAACCATCAAAGTAACTCTGAGGTCAGCAGAAGGCTGGGGCATGGCTGGCCCTGCCCTGCTATGGCATCACCAGCTCTGTGGCATCGAATTCTCAATACCCAGATTAGAGACAATGGCCTCCATCAAACACATTCACTTCTCCCCTTAGAATTATGCAAAGAAGTGATTTATTGCTCTGCTGTGTGTTATCACTGTTGCTGTAAACAGACTACCCCCTGTCTCTCAAGCTGCTATAGACCAGAGAGGAGGGACTGTCTTCTGTTAAACTCTTTGTGCTCTTACCACTGGGGAGAAGCCTGACAACTCTGCTTCGCTCTCACTCTCCGTCTCTGCTGTTGGCTCATCACCTGCTGCAGGCTCACTCTTCCCTTGTCTCTCTGTGAGAAAAAGAAGAAAGGCTTTACATGACACTGAAGGAATTTTCTGCCTTTATACATTACTTTCCCCTACTTCCCCTGTGAAAGTGCACAGGGTTCCTGGAGACAAGCATAATCTGTTGCTCTCAGGTACTGTTCTCAGGATCACCTGGGAGAACACAGTTGCTCTCTGCATAACCCTTACATTTCCAGCTCTCTTCCCCTGCTCCTCTGCAGCCTGTCACCACACAGGTTTTTTTGTGTGACTCCACATGGTCTCCTATTGTCCTTTTGCTACTGCTCCACCCTAGGAATGCAGCATCAAAAAAAAGCTAAAAGGTGGTTCCTTACTCTTCTTCTCATGCTTGTGGTGCAGTGTCTCTGCCTTCATACTGTAGTCCAGTTTCATCAGGACAGGCTCCAAACGTGTATACATCTTCTGGATCAGCTCATGGTAGACCACCAGAGGCCAGAGCAGAATGCTGAGCACTGTGGACGTGGAATGCAGGGAGTGTGAGAGGCAGATCAAGCATAACCCAACTCTTCCTGTGGTGCCACTGAGAAAGTCTTCACGGAAAACACATCTCAATGGCATGTGCTTTCCCATCTGACTGCCTAAAAATCCTCATCCATGGCTCTTCTTACTCACTGCAGAGCTGTTTGATTAACCAGGTGTTACTGCCAGATCTTAGCATATAGATTTATGTTAAGATGAAGCATAAGCCCTTCTCTTCAGCCACTGCACCCTAGACCAAACATGCAACAGAAGCCCTGAAATGAGCTTAAATGAGAATTAAAACTAATTATTACCAAAACTTTTATACAGGTAGCTGCATAGAGCTCATGTGTTGATGCACTCATAGCAGAGCACTAGAACAGAGTTATTAGGGACTCGTGATGCAGTGAAAAAGGTCTGTTTACCCAACATGCAGCTTTGTTCACAACACTCTCAATATGGATTTGCCCACGTTAGGAACTGAGACTGTAACTTCCTACTTTCCTGGAGCCTCGGCCAGCACAGCCTCAGCAGTGGGGAACAGAGGGCACCAATGTTTTAGTCACGGCTCCCTCTCCTGCCTTTGCAGTCATACTGCAAGCATGCGCTTACAGAGACTTCCTGAAATACATTCCCTGTAAATTGATTCATCATCTAGCGCAGATCCGCTTGAGAAAACTACAAATCTGCTTTTACCAGCCTATCAACAGCACAGTTATGTCATGTCTTAGCTTAAGTCAGACAAGAGCACTGCTTATACTCACAAATGATGTAGGAGATCATTATGCCTGGAACATAGTGTCCAACTACAGCCAGAATCAGGCAGCCTGAACAGACACTCATGCAGAACTGAAGGAAGAGAGAGGAACAAACAGAAGTGACAAGAGGCAGAGATACATCTATGCAACCCATGCCAGAAACCCATTTAGCGCAACATGAGAGATGGTCCTAACCAAGTCAGTCAGCCAGCTCTGCACCAAGTACATTCAGGTGCTGACAGTCACAACTCAGACAGCTCGGCTGGGTTAAGCTGTAAGCATTAGAGGTTCAAGCGCAGGATGACCAAGGTAACCCAACGCCCCAATAAAACAAATCAAAACTTTATCAGTTCTTCATAAAGTAAATTACATTCCTTGAGGATATGATGGGATATTGCAAAGTGCCACTT